CATTCTCAATTGGGTTGAAGTCGGGACTGTTTGCTGGCAATGGCATTCTTGTGATCCCTGTTTGCCTGGTGTGGACGCCGCCACACACGCACACGTCCATCTTTTGGGCTGACCATGAATCATGACTCATCTGTGAACAACACTTGGCCCCATTGGGCTCGAGTCCATGGTTCAAGGGCCCTGCACCAAGCAAGGCGACTTGCCTTGTGTCCTGCGCTCAGCGTTGGTTTCTTGATTGGACGCTTGGCACGGATGTTGGCAGCATGCAGACGACGCTGAGCGGTCTGGGAGCTCACCGCCATGTTGGTAACAGCACGCAGACGATGCCTGATACTGTTGGCTGTCGTTGTCGTCTGTCGCACGGCCTGCATGCGGACATATCGATCCTCTCTCTCAGTGGTCTTCTTTGGTAGACATGCAATTGGGCGCTCTTGGACTGATCCAGTAGCTTGATGGCGCTGCCTCAGGCGGACACTGACAGAGTGTGACACTGCAAGCCTTCTGGTAACTTCTTAGTAGGCTCTAACTCCATCATGCAGCCATGCCACAGCCCTGGCACGATCAAAGTCTCTCAGCTTTCGTCTTGGTGGCATGTTGATGCGAAATTGGATTTTGCGCAAACGGCGGCTTATATATTGCCACCAAAGTGAGCACAGTTCGAGACCAGTCCGTTTATCACGTGCAAGAGAAATTTAATTTTAATTGAGGAATGCCCATGGTGTCGCGCACAAGTCGATAAAAAAACAATAAATTTGGCAAAATTGTAAATTCCCCAAAGGTTTCCGTACTGCACGTGGTCACTTTGCTCCTGTAGGGGGTGTTGCAGTACGCCTTGTTTACTCATTAACACTTTTAGAGCAAAAAATGTTAAAACATTCCTTGCTGTCTTTTTTCTGATTTTAAAAACATTAGGGCTGTCTGTTAAGGTGGTCCTTAATTTATGTTAAAGTCTGTACCATGAGTAAAATTTCTTTCATATTTTCACAGTCTTTGGAATTGCATGCGTTTCAATTTGCTGTTGCGTTTTCATTAATCGCCATTATGCTTTGATTACTTAATTTACATACCCAAGAAAACGTTGAATTAACTACCGTACTATTTCTCCAAAGAAGCTGATCGAGGCCGTTTCTTTTATTCTATAACAAATCCCGAAAAAGGACAAGAGGTGTGTGTGTGTGTGTGTGT